ACGATTAAAATGTAAAACGAAAACATAAATAATAAAGATTTGCAACGTTATTACATAATATTCATCAGTTTTAAACAAATTTCAAATCACAACATTAACAATGATTTTTTTTTAACTGCCCATACTTTACCAAGACTTATTGATATTGCGTTCTTATCAAGTAAGAATATTATTCAAAGACTATAATAGTTCTGTTTCCCACCATTAAATATGTAGTAATATTAAGTTATATAAAATATAATATCTACAACCTACCTAGTACCTACAAATAATAGAATAAAATTGAGATACCAAAGAAACATAGAACAATAAAATACCCAAATGGATTCTGAGGAGATACGTAATAATAATAACAATAATAACAATAACATTAATATTAATATTAATTAACATTAATAAATAACTCATAATTCGCACTGTACTCGTGTCACTGTGTTTAGGTACGGACATAACTCTGCGCGCATATACTCATAAATTGTTATGATATTACAGTGCAGACCTGCTGCAGACTTACCCTGCAAGTCTCCTCCCAGATGGGATCTTCGCAGCCGGCTGACGAACCGGACGATCCCCTACGACCTGTCGGGTCCCATGAGTTCCGGCGCACCGAATCCAACGAATCGGTGGAGTACCGTCGCCAGGCTGGCACCGCCGATAAGGAGTCCTTTCGGCCAGCGCCCGTCGAGTCGCGGCGCAATACCACGCCGGATGCAGCTGAAACCGCAGTAGACAGCGAGGTACTCGGMGGCGATGCCGACAACAACGAATCGCGGCGCGCCGAGCTGATGGAATCACGGCGCAAAGACGTCGTGGACGACGCCAACGAATCGCGGCGCAATGAAGACGGAAACGAGGACGGATGGTGACACAAGGTGTCGCGGCCCGGTGAACCTAACACAATAGAATCGCGACGCCGCATGCTGGCCGCTGGTATGGAAGCGGGCACGGAATCGCGTCGGGGCACAGCCGCGATCGCGGCCGCCGCCCCGGACACTACRCTTCCGCGGTGGTGATGATGATGATGCAAATGTTCAGACTTTCGTCGGGCGTTTCCTCCGACGCCGTGCACATCGCAGTCGGCCGTCACGGCGAAATGCACCTTTTCCACAGACGACCTTTTAGTCTTGGAGTGCTCGTCACCACCGCCTCCATCCCCAAGTTTAACGTCGTCGAACAGGGCCTCGAGCCTCTTGAGCGCAGCCGCGGTGGCCGTCATTTGCGCGCCCGGCGTTTACGTGATGTACTTAATTTATAATTGTTATGGAATTATGCAGAACCGAAACTGCAATGGTTATACACCGTACCTCTAAAACAATAGTGCAACCACCGATAGCGACGATGAACAAACGATAAACAAACGATGAACAAACGACACATACGACACCCAGACACGTGCACGTGTACCGGTTACGCGAACACTATTGAAGGTCCGCGCGGCCTCCTGAACACGGGCATTGTAGTCACCACAGCAGTGGCCCCACCAAACGACCACCATATTGGGCTCGGTTACCCGCGCGCGTTTACGTCCGAACTCGCTGCCGCACACGCGCCGTCCGCCGAGTATTGTTGTGACGCATATTACGATGTAACGACGTTCGACGAACATATATTGTTATTTGCGCACCTACGGCGGATCCAGCACGGTCTCTTTCGAAATCGTCAATATTTATTGTCGTACCTCGACGGCCGTCGCCACCGTCACCCCGCGCCTGCCTGTCCATGGAATGTGTCTTCGTCGTTGTCGTCGGCGGCGCTGCAAAGTTCGAACCAGCTAATTCGCACGTAAAAAATACCGCTATTGTTGATGTTGTTATTGTTATTATTATTATTATTAGGTATCATCGTTATTATTACTAGGTATTAAGTGACTCATTGGCGTGCCGAAGAAGGTATTTTTAAGGCAATTGCTCCAAGTCTAAAATTGGTAGGTGTATGATGAATGTTAAAAATAAAATTAATACGATAGCTACACCAAAATATAACAGTTTTTGTAGCTTTTTTCAGGAAAAATGTATTTATTGGACATAAATATATTTATGTCCAATAAATACATTTTTGGTTGGAGGGTCTTTAATAATTAATTTTGCATCGAGTTAAAAAATTTCAACACGCCATTGTCAAAAGTGTGTTATAGCCATATAGGTAACCTGATTCCATTATACCAAATAATTATGGGACCCTTTACATTATTATAATTATTATAATTATTTTATTAAGATTATACAAATTTTATATATATTAATGTCTTAAATAAAATTTAAAAATCCAGTTTTAGAGTTAATTTCCTTAAAAACCCTGAAAAGCTCTAAATAATTGATCAAAAACATCACAATACCAATATTTTCAAAAAATGCAAAGTTAATAATTTTTATTTTTATTTAAAAATACATGAACATGAAACGAAGATTTTATAAAACAAACAATGCGTAGCTAACTTTGTAACCAATGTAAAGTGCATCGAAAACGTAGCCTTATCAATGAGACTTTTAGATTAAAGGCAAAAATGAGRAACCCAGTTCTAGCTGTAGGCAGCACACTCCGATAATATTGAAAAATAATTGATTTCTAGATAGTATCTTATAATTAGTTATAAATAATAATTATAATAAAAATCTATACGATTCAACTCAGCTCAGAGATGATGAAATTCAGGTATACGCCTATATATAAGTTCACATTTACATGAACGCGCAGCTTCGTCTAAAGACGGCGCCCTCGGCGAGGAATGCGTCGTTATTCTGCAAACCTACAGCGYTATAACCAACACCACCCGCGCCCATATAAAGAACATCCAATAATATAAGAGCTGGTGTACGACACTTTCGCAAAATTCCATCGCTTTCATCGTCCAAGAAACTTCAATAAAATAAACGAAAACCGATTYCTACATTAAAAATATTACTTAACGTTAAACGTTTATAAAAAGACACAGCAAACTGAATGACGTATTTCTATGGTAATTAGAAAAAATATTTTAAAATATTTCTAATATTTGGTTTGGCTGCCATAGAATAACTAAAATCAAAGTAAACCATTCAATGATACCTAGGTCATATTATTTTGTAATAAGTTATTAGTAAGCTCAGTCTAAGCCACTAAGGCCTTCTAGAATTTGCATACTTTTGTTAATTATTGTTAAATATAGCAGAGTGCGAAATTAATTAATTTCTCGGTGCCATGATATCAGATCTAAAATTTAAATGTGCATATTTTTATAGATTTTGCAGGAAATTGATTTTTCAGAGTTGCTATTGCTTATTTTGCGTATTTTGACAATTTTTCCAAATTTCAAATTCAAAACTACACATATTTCAATCAATCGAGAAAAAAAATTTATTAAAAGGACACYGCACCCGCATGTGTTGTCTGCGTCGTACAAGTGCGTTGCATAACAAATTTTACGCTCAGCTGCAGATCACGTGAATCTCCGTCAATTTAAAATTAAGAGTGAATTGACCTATTATAAAAATTAAAGGCAAGATTATTACCGAGGGCATCTCATGGGTTTTTAATTATATTTTTATTTTAAAGCGAGTTATAAGTATTTTAAAATTGTAAATTGTTTTTATATCTAAAAATACTCATAACTCGCTTTAAAATTAAAATATAATAAAAAGCTCATGAGATGCCCTTGGTAAAAATCTTGCCTTTAATTTTTATAGTAGGATAATTCACTCTAAATTTTAAATTGRCGGAAATAAACGTGATCTGCTGAGCGTAAAGTTTGCTATGCTACGCACTTGTACGACGGAGACAACACGTGCGGGTGCGGCGTCCTCTTAATGGTATCAATAACTACTATCTACCATCTACTACTCATATCTCGTTGTAATTTTAGGTTCGGAGGACACGGAAAAGACTATAAATTTAAACCAATTACTTTTTAAAAATAAAAATTAAATATAATTTTCAATTCCAAGTTTCAATGCCTAATAAAATTAATATTTAATTTTACCACATATTTGTTATCCCTAATTTTTTTGGGGAGCATCTCTTAGTGCATATTCKGCCATTTTTAGGAATTTATTTTAGAGCATATTTATTAATTTTTTGATGTGTATTTGGGTAATATATTAGAGCTACAAGTCCCTAAGCCTAGTTAATAATTATTACGAATATACGAGATTTATTTTCATATAAATATTAGTACTTATTATATTTCTATATCATACTCATAATAATTAGAAAACAAATAATTAAATTGTGATTATCAAGTTTGAATCGAATACAAAACGTAAATCTGTGAAATGCGAACCATACAGTTAATTGATTTGAATAATTTTTAATACATTAATTAGTTTATTTTAGAGATTTAGAAATACTTCTCAAAGAATGGCATTTTTTTTACATCTATGTTAATTTATAGATATTTATCAACCATTTTTTTCACGCAATACAAATTTTTTCACTAGTCAACAAGGCTCACCTTAACCAGTGGGTAGACCTCACCCGACAAAAAATTATCAAGAGCGAACAAAATACAAATATATATATTAGCCTTGAATATAAACGCCTATTATTACCACCTATAGAGCAATAAAATTTAGTATCTATTATATTATTAACAAATAATTAGTCGTACAATTAGTACTTTTTTATGATTTTGTATTAATAATTTTAAAATAAAGATATTGTTAGTAATTTTAATTTATTAACGATGACAATAACGTCGAACGAATAGATATGCGATAACTTGTACAGTTGTATAACGCCGTATACACACGAAGTCTTCATGGTTTATTACAAATATTAATCAAATAAAATACTTACAATATATTTTAAGATTATACACAATCTGTCAATCTACCATTTGGCCATTCATCTAATATATTTTTTCCATCCAAATAATTCAGTATATATTTTAGTGTAATGTGTATTATTTTAAATTTAATTAAATATTAAATTAATTAGTTGCCTAAACCATTATATATAATATATACATAATACATAATATATACATTGTTATAACAATAACATATTATATAATATTAATTTCATACCTGCATTTCCTTTAAATTGTTATCATTCTCAGAAATCCATTCTCCTTTACTGCCATTTATTACATTTACTTTTGTAGGGATTGGAGGTTTGGCAGCATTATTATTTGAAAATGTAGCTGTTTCAGACAGAACAACTTTATTTGATAATTCACTAAAAATATAAATAATAATTTTAAAACCGGAACAATATTATAATTACTTTATACATATATATATATATATATTACATATCATACCTGTTTTCTTCTTGAAGTTTCGATTCAGTACTACGCAATTGCTCTATAAGCTCTAGTCTTTCTCTTTCTTGATCTTGTAAGGCATCATGATATCTTTGTTTTTGGCGTTGATATTCCTTAAGTAAATCACACTGACTATTCTGCATATCAAAACTAGTACTAGATTGGTTAATAGACAATGATTGATATCGATCAGTAAGTGAGTCTCTTCTAGATGACCTGGTAGTATTTGACGTTGTCGTAGAATTTGATGACCTTCCAGGTTCTGGAGACGATAATTCCGAAACAAATTTTCTATTTTCTTTTACAGGTGTCACAACTTCAGTAATAGAAGGTAACTCTCCGTTCATACTATTCACGAAAACTTCACTTTCAAATAATTTATCTACTGAACTAGTCATAGGTGTATTACTTTTCAGTCCTGTTAAATGAAAACTTGCAAAAGACGATTTTACAAGGTTTGACGGCGTATTAGGTACCCCGATTGATGATATAAGAGATGACGAAGAAGTGTGGTCAAGATTTGGCAGCAAGGAACGTGACATAATATCGGCAGCTGATCGTGGTCTAGTGAATGGCATTGCAGAATGTGGGAATTGCTTTGGTTTTATAGGAGTAACGAGCATGTGTTCCGTCCATGATGTTTCCAAAGACGGTCTCTCTAACTGTTCAAGTTCAACATTTAATGTTTTTTGTTCGAAAGGCACAATAAAAGTTTCAGCTGGAATGCTTTGAAGCCATGACATCAAACTAAGATCTGTATCTTTATAACCTTCCGATCCATTAAATATATGTGAAAAATTTAAAACATTAGGGCCAAAAGGCTGTGTACTTCCAACTGCTTTAGATTTACAAAAATTACAACAAGATTCATAAAGCATTCCTTTAATAATTAACTGAATAAGCCTGTCATTTATTGCATCTGGCATAACAGGTTTTTTGTCACATGGTAAAAATTTCATTACAAGAGGATAAACTTGTTTAAAGCATTGTACTCTCGCTGTACTAGGGTTCCAATCTTTATATCCTAAATTATCGGATAGTCTTGGTAATGTCAACATTAAACAAAGATTAGAATATTCCTCTTTAGAAGGGCATACTTTTTCTAATTCATTTAGAACTTTAACCACTTCTTCTACTGCAGTGTCTACACTTCCTACCACAGTCGCTTCTGATTTCATACATATTAGTTCGGCATATTTATGTCTTAATATACAGTACCTAAATTTATTGGTAGGAAAAGTTGGTATTACTTCCAGTGGTTGAATGAATTCAAGTACGTCATCCCATTGCCCATCCAAAATGAGTTGACGAAGAAACAACGCATCATCTGAATAACTTCCATTTATAACACCAGTTTCACGTTCTACGCTTAATTGAGATATATGAAGTTCGCGATTATGCAAAAACTCCAAAGTTAATCTAATAATATCTTCTTCCCGTACAGAAATCTTTGCTGTTGGCATCACGTAACATATACGCAATCTAGAAATAATAAAACATTTTATTTTATAACTAAATAGTAATTTAATTTACTAAGAGTGAACAGGTTAAGGTAAAGAAACAAACAACACTGCCAGACATTTGTACAAAAATAGTAAAGGAGTGCCCCTCGCAGACACTCCTTTCCTGTTGGTTTATTTTAGTACACCAACAAATATACCCTTGCTATAATTGACATGCTTCATAAAGATGCATATAGTTCTATTAGTTCAAATGTATAATTATTAAAAAATAAATAAACTCAAACATGAACATGGCACAATTTACAAACCTAAATAACTTTAAAACAATTAATTGGTTTATTAACTAAATACTTTATTATTGTATGTAGATACTAATGATTTAAATGGAATGTAAGCAATATAAACTTTAAACATAGAAAGATTACGAGGCACTGAGTAGAATATTCTGAAAATAAACGAAAGAAAAAGAAAAAGGAAAAGCGCGCAAGTTTATTTTAGAAGTTTTGTTTATCTTGAAACTTTTAGACATTGAAAAATATTAAGTGAGGGTTGTATCACGAGGGTCGTATCATGAAGGTTGTACTGTAGAGTAATTCAAAAAGACACATGACAATGTTTCTCTACACAATAATGGATTGTTACTGCAGTATTTGTATCTGTAAACATGTTATACATAATGTAGTAAACTTAAAGTAACTAGATAGATAGGTTAATGGAATAGGACCCTCTTAAGTAAATTAAAATATGTATATACCCATATAATACATTTATAGATAAATTATTATTTAATTCCTGAAAGTATAACATAGTTAATATTGTTAATAATACTAATGTATTATAAATAAAAACTTATATATTTACAAACCTTGAAATAAATTTTCTATGCATATTTTTTACACATCTGTGGAAATAATTTATGTTTGATACAACTGTTACAATTTAATGAAACAAGRAAATTATAATTTAATGTGGTCAGTAGTCGTCTAAAACTGAAACTAAACTAATTCCTTTAAAATAAGCGTTCGTTAAAAACACCTTCCAGTTTCTATTTGATACTTATTTATAAACAACTAATATATAGGGTGTTTTATGTAGATAAAATACAACATGTCTTATATAAAATTTGAAAGTAAAGTAATTTGTATTAATACGTGAAATGCAATAAAACATTAAATACCTACAGCATGAACTTTATATTATTTTTTAAATTATTTTATCCATTCGTTTGTGAGTTATATTACATCTTAAATATCATATTTTTAATTTCAATAAGCATTTAACTTTTTAAAATTATAATAATTTAAATAAATCATTTTTAATATTTTTTATTTTACTTCTATAGTAAAATGAATATTCTTGATTACCTAAAAAAATGATGTATATGGACACAAAAATAAAATTAGCTTGTCTATGACTATTTTAGATAATCAGTATAAGAAATTTTAAAACACCCTATATATAACACTGGAAACTTCAATATTAATAATTATAGATATGTTTGTCTGATTATATATGCAACACCAGAAAAATATAGCCTGTAGGTAAACTACATTGCTTATAAGTTATAACCTACTTATAGCAGTTCACTAACAAATTATTTATGTAAAGAAGACCATTGACTTTTAGTTACTTCATAAATGAATAAGCAACAAATATTACTGATTTAATAATATAAAACCGCATTAAACATATTAAAACAAATAACATGAGTTTAATTGTACTCTAAATAATAATACAAGATAATAAAAGCAACTTTTAAAATTAATGAAACAAAATCTTAGATATTCAACATAGATAATATTACATGTTATTAACTGAATTTCCTAWTTTAACTTTAAGTACACAAATCTTTTTACTACTTTTTTTACCTTAATTAAACCCATCATTAATATAGAGCAGTGATGAACATTTTTATACCGAGATCTATTTAAAAAAGATTTCCTAGGGAGCCAAGAATTTCAAATTTTTCTCTTATGACTTARGTTAATAGAATATCTATTGCTAAAGTATTGTTTGGCATAGGTATTTAATTAATTTTTTACTGAACACAACGCTAGCATAATAATCTTAATATAGGTATGGACATTTAATTATGAATTTAATTTCTTATTAAAATATATTGGGTATAATAATATTTTTAATATATCTATTTGTTTTATTAATAATTACTATACCAATAATCTTATGAGTGTTGACTTGGGTTTTCACAGAGAACACCAATATTAGTTTCCGATTTTCTAGAAATCACCTGAAGAATGGCATGAATATGTTTATTTATTTAACAAGTTCAAGTTTTACTTCTATTAATTTTTCTATTTGAAAATACTTATTCTCAAATAATTAATGTTGAGCCAAACATGATATAGAATAATAAGAAATAATCATGGTCGTTGTAAGCTGTCAAATGTTTAGAAAATCATCTTTAGATATCTAAACAAAATTCAAAAAGATTTTCTGTTTTTTTTAATACTAATTAGATTGAAGTTTGATTATTTCTAATTTGTAAAAAAATTTAAAAATTTTATAAATCTATATTCAAAGCATTTTAAAATTATAATTATTTTAAATTTGACACATAAAAAATTGCTTAAACATTTTGCCTTGTATAGTTGTATATTAGTGAGATATAAAACATTGTAATACAACTAATTTTATAAAGGTAAAGGATAATGTTAACTTAATTTTTGTGGAAATCGATAAATGTGATAATACTATTTCTATTTTTTATTTTTTATTATTATTTATTAGAGCCACAACAACTAAGGTTATTGGCATATTGTACAATGTAAGCATTAAATTAGGTGCTAAATAACTTTATGAATATTAAATACAATGTAGATTATTTATAAAGGTATAACGTTAAACTATTTCTATTATTAAACTATGTAACGACTAGACTGCAACAACAAATGTACATACCTGATTAATAACACATGTATAATTGATATCATGCAATAGGAAGAGAAGAAATATTAATTTACATTTTGTTTCACAACATTTATATTTTTAGATAAATTTGAATAAATTTTTTTTTCAATCTTTAATTCTTATTCAATACAGTCATTCTCTATAGTTAGACATCCCTTATTAGTGTTAAGCAAATGAAGTTTGTAGAAAATAACATTGTAAAAATAATTTATTTGCTCCCTGTTAATGAAAAGCCAATCTAAATGAAACCTACCAAGTTTTAATATATGAGTGTATAAAATAAATAAATACAACAATTGGCTTATTAAAATCCAATATAACTTTTCAGTGTCCTACAAACAAAAATAAAAAACATTTTTTTCTATTGCTCAAAGTAACACAATTTCTTTAAGCAACACTAAATCTAATGAATCTATGGATGTACCAATTACCTTATCCGTTTCAAATGAAGGTCATAAAACATATTTTTGTGAGCATCATATTTAATAGGTAGTCACTTTATGACCTGTCATTTCTACACATACTCCCCACCTTTCATTATAATTTTCTAACAACTACCTTCTTTCTCAAATATAGTTAGTAATATGATATTCAAATTTTAAATAAATTATTCTGAAAAAAATACAAATAAGTGATCATTTTTATCAAATTGATTTTATCATATTTGATTATTATAGCTTTCTCATTTGTAAAAAAATAATAAAAATAATAATTAATAATTAATAAATAATTTTTTAATTTAAAAACAAATCAACTACTTATTTCATTATAATGTTCAAAGCCATTAATTAAATTAAATTTAACAAATTTTATGGTACCATTGTTCATTGAGAAGTTGTTGTTTTTTTATTTAATTACACTATTTATGATCATGTTTGAGGGGGTTGATTAGTAAAAAATTAT